TGCGGGATATTCTCGCTGTGTTGAAGACCCATTGGTGGCCTTGAGCTGTTTCCTGCTCTTTTGTCGAGTTGCTGTCTCTTTGACACATTCCCCGTTTCCATTCTTAATTTTATTCAGTATTATAATTTGGTGAAAAAGGCTTAGTATAGTGAGTGATTCTGTCATGTGTTACATAAAAATAAAGTTTCTATGTCTAGTCTTCAGGTTTCCACATCTGTTGTTGTCCATACTTGATTGTCACATTGAGTTTCTCTTACGCTTTCTTTCCATTATATGAGAAAAGATAGCAGGAAAATCACCTATGCAGAAATGACACAACAAGATACACCACATCACTAACCATAATTCAAAACAATTACACTAGAAAAAAGAAAAAAATTGTCCACCCAAAATGAATTACCTCACAACCTATCTAGAATCGAGGCGACTGTCCAACGTTTTAGGCCGTATGTAGATTAATTCTGTGTTGTTGGGTTACTGTCTTATTGACATTTATCCCACATCTCTTTTTATTTATTTTATTTATTTATTTTTTTTTGAAAATCAGAAAAGTCAAACAGGCTATAGTGAATTGCATGAACGACGTACGGTCATAGTCTTCAGTGCCAAACTAGAATAAAAAATAATAAACTAATGGAACAATTGCAAGTGGTTAACGCAATTAAATTGCGTACAATATGCATGCCCTTATTAAATATTTTAAAAACATAGGCTCATCATCTCCTGTCATTTAGTTCAATACTTTATGCTTTCAAATCTTTTTTCTTAAGCTTATTCCTCTGTTTTTCTTTCTTGTAAACATGTGATATACTATGTACAACATGCTTATGAAAATAAATAACCAAAAAGGAAAGATGTAATTTTGTTTCTGTTTCCGTTCCATATTCCGTTTCCGACTTTTAGCACCCGATAAGTGTGACTATCCGATTTGTTTTTGTTTTTCATCATCTGACACGGGAACAGTTATAACTAATTTCAACAATTGTTTTGCTATAAAATGAAACCACAATGTGTCAGCTATTCAACATCAAACTTAAAATCATATGATAGTACATATTGAATCAATCGGATTTTGCATTTTTTTTTTCAATTTTACCGTCTGTCAAGTTGAAAGTGTATTAAATTTCTTTCATATTGCATCTGCAGTCAATTTTCACAAAAAATAACATAAAAACTAATGCTCTAATGGTTTTATATATAAAAGTTTGACAGAACATACACATTTCACTTTTACGAGCCTTATAGAAATACTTATCGATTCCCATCTCCTTTTTCGCCCGACTCAAAATTGCATAGTTGTATAGTTGTATTAAATTGAGCTATCATGTCTTGATGTTTGCAAATAAGAATATAAATGTGCATTAATTTTGTGACCTCAGTTCATTTTTTAATTTTACTAGATTTTGAATTATTCTATTCTCGAGTTTTACGGAGATATTCGTTCTATTCCACATCGGAAAATGTTAAGCTTTTCTGTTAGATTTGTTCACCCAAAATATAATGGCAATTATGCATTTGTTGCTAAATTGCTATCATTTAAAATTTGACAAAGGCAACGGAAAAGAGGAATAATAAATACACTTTTAGAGGCAATACATGTGCGACAAGATAAAGTTTGCCATGTTCATGCATATGCCGAATTCGATTCAATCTCTATAGATAATTTCAAGCCAAAGAAACTGTATCATTTAGCGGCATGCTAGCCAGTTAGCCAGTTACTTATCGAATCAAGAGAAAGGAACCAGCTACAGATATTTCATATGACGTTGAGCATAATGTTGGTTTTTAAAGATTAACAGAACTTCAATACGATGATCTATTTGTGAAGAAGAAAATAATTAAAATCCTTTTTATGTCGTTTTTGCTGGATACGTTTATTCCATTTTTTCAGAATAAATTGAATTTGATTGATTGAATGATTGTTGGTTGTTAACCGTTCAGTGGTAGGAATTAATTGATAGCAAGTATACAATTGCTTAACTGCAAGTGCAAAGTAGAAAATCATTATAGGCATTCCATTATGGTTCAGATTTAAAAAGGACAATGGGAATCAAATATGTTTTCAGTATCCCATTAGGTGTTTTATTACTTTGTGTATAGTATTTTCTTCATATGTCAAACATCGTGGTTCCAAAATGGTTTCTTTTACAAACCAAAGACGCAAGACGGCTTATACTCATGTTCGTGATCTCAGCAATGCATGTAGGTATCAAAACTTCTAAAATCTAACTGGTTCAGGCCCTGATTTTGAGTATGATTTCAACCAATCAAAATACTGCATTTGATGTTTCGAGTTCTTCCCTCAGCGGTATTAGAAACCCTACATCTGAGACATCATATTGCCACGACGTCTCAGATTCAGGGGTTCGAATCCCGCTTAGGGAAGAACTTAAACTTCCAAACGCAAATTTGCAGATCGATCCAATATTGTTGGGCCAAATTTGAGACGAAGTATTATATAAATAATAGTTTTAGCCCTGTATAACCACAGGTTATTCAATGGACAACGTCTGTCGTGCAGTTGTTAAATATTTAAACGTATATATATATATATATATATATATATGTAAGTAAAAGAAATACTCTAATTTTGGTAGGTAGCTTTAGGGTGTAGGCTAATAGAGTTTACAATAAATGTAGGACTCCGACCCGAGTCCGAATACGAGTCAGAGTAAGACAGTTTAAATTAGGGGGCGATTTCAAAACATTGTACTTTAATCATTATAGTATTAATTGAAAAGTTGATTTCGCTGACTGACAAAATAATGACTTCCGCAAACTTTAACTATGGCATTAAGTGTGAGACGAGGAAGCCTCAAACGAGTTCCAATGACTTTATGACATTTCAATTCGCCAATAACATGTTCAACGGAGACTCTATATTCTGCAATGAATCTGTTGAGTCTCCTACACTTTCTCTTTTTTTGTATTCCGGCTTTCTGATTCTCTACTGTCCGGTGTATGTCGTGTATGGCTGATGAAATAATTCAACCTCTTCTCTCGACGAGGATCCGGAGCAACCCACTCATGTATGAGCAGTAGAGGAACCTGAACTTCAAAAAATGAATAATGGGCCGACAGCGAAAGCTGAAGAAATTGCCACAGATAATACTACAGCCAGAACTGCAGATAATATTTATGATGCTCTTGTAAATCTTGAAGCTTCAAGAACCCTTCCCCCCAAAAAAAATGCAACAAAGAATCTTTAAAGCAATCAGTTCGCAGTAATAATGAAAGATATGAAACATTTATTACAAAATAGGTTCCAAAATTGTTTAAAAGCCTCGGAGTTGATTTAGATTATTCTGGCACCCATAAAATAATCATACAAAAAAACTTAATGTCTATTCCAAAAATAAATTAACATTTTCTTTGTCTGTATGTACAATTCTTGCCAGGTTTTTATAAAATTTACATCAAAGGTGTATTTCAGTGTTGATCAACTATTGCTATTAAAGTAAATGCTCTCACGTGAACAATTCTTGCCAGGAATTTATAAAATTTGGTACTGCTCTTGGACAGATAAAATATATGAAATGCGGGGGACATTGGAACTCTGTTCTTTTATTCTCAACAAAATCAATGCGAAAAGTAGTATGCATTACTTCGAAGCCCCTTAAGTGCCATGTAAATATAAATATTTTCGTTTGACGGAGATTTAATCTGGTGCGCACCAGTTTTAACAATCGTGCGCACGACATTAAAACTCGTGCGCTTGACTATGAAACTCTTGCGTATTACTTTAAAACTGTTGCGCACAATTCCGAAACTCGTGCGCAAGACATTTCAAAGCTGGTGCGCACGACTTTAAACTCGTGCCCACGACTTTCAAACTCATGAGCATAGCTTTTTGGCGGACTCTATACGAACTTGCGCACCATTTTGAAAGTCGTGCACACGAGTTTCAAAATTGTCCACACCATTTTTTAAAGTCGTGCGCACGATTTTTCAATTTGGTGAGCACCAGATTAAATCTCCGGCGAACGAAAATATTGATATTTACATAGCACTTAAGGGGCACCGTACTAGTCTCCAAGACTTAACACAGTGGAAACATCTAGCACCAAAACAAAACAAACAATTTTAATTTTTTTTAGATAATTCGTCAGTTATGAAAGGACCATTTTTTTAAACTTGAAAAGTTTTTTTTTTAATGTAATCGGTAAAAATTATCATATGACTGGAGCAATAAATATTTGTTGCAAAATCTTTTAAATTCTGAACATATCTGTAAGCGAGCTTATACGAAAAAGCGCACTTTCTACCCTTCAGTAAAAAAAAGTAAATTAATTTGTTAAATGGTTTTGTCCTATCACCACACAGAGATTGAAGACGGTAAAAATAATTAGCGTACACAGTATTTTGAGATCAACCCTATAGCTTACCTGTATGATTTGTAGTCGTACTCGTACTCAGCCTGTATGATTTGTAGTCGTACTCGTACTCAGACTCCGAGTCTGACAGTTATTGTAAATCTCTAGTAGCAGGCTAAATTTTCAACACTTTATTCAGGTTTAGTCACTTTGAACATATTTTGTTTATGGATAATATGTTTCTTGTCCAGAATTGGAATGAGCAATTTCCACTAAAGTTAAATCAAAACTATAACATAACTAAGCCAATACAAATGTCATTTCTCATGAATATTTGATAAAACAATTTATAAGCGTGCTTTTTGTAGAAACTACTTTCACGACAATGCCTATTTGCGTCACCATAGAAGTAAAGGAAAGATTTAGAAAAAATATTGTGTCTGTTCCCTGTTATTCCGTGATTGATCGCTGATCTTGATAAAGCTTCTAAATGTTTATTTTTTTAATTTGTACGACAAAACGTATGTTCATTATTTTGCATACGATAATATTTTTTTATATTTAAAATTATAATTTTGGATGATATTCTCGCATGGTTTGTAAAATAACTAAAAACTTCATGAATTAAGACATCATATATTTATATTTGTACAGACATCAACATGTGTGGTGTCATTTCAGGATTTAATAAAGTAGAAGCAGTTTCTGCATTTAAGGGATCAACCATACAGTTGAAATGTCCATACAGCGTTTCTCCACAAAATTCCGTAAAGTGGTTTAAAAAAGTTAATGGTACATTACAAACTTTTTCAAAGGCGACAGAGATACATCCACAATTGGAATTAGAATTAAAATCTAGATTAAAAGTCACAGGTGATCATAGAAGAGGACAATATCATCTGCGTATATATGATGTCAGAAAGAGTGATGAAGGGACTTACCAGTGTTCACCTTCTGGTACAGTTAAAGCCTTGTATTTACTACAACTAACTGTTATAAGTAAGTATAGAGAGATCCTTAATTGTGTATTACTCTTGTTATTCATAATACCTATGACGACTGGCCTTTCACTTTCCTATGGTGGCCGGTTAAGGCCATTTCACGTTTTCGCCTTTCATAATCTATAGGGCGAAAACGCGAAAACGCGAAGTCGAAAACGCGAAATCGGGAAGTGAAATCATTTTGCGTATTCGCGTTTTCGACTTCGAGTTTTCAAGTTTTCAAATTTGCGTTTTCGCATTTTCGACTTCGAGTTTTCGCGTTTTCGCGCTTTCGTCCTATAGAATATGAATATCAATACTTGAATGGAATTCAAACAAACAAACACAATGCTTCAATTTTTTTTCTTTGCCTGAATGTCAAAATGGCATCTGATTTTCCTATTTTAGCTTTATTAAAACGAATAAGCTTGAAATGTGATTAAGTATTTAAATGTATTTCGAAATTGATGCATTCATCCATATCGACCGAAACTTATGTTTCTAAAAAGTTTATAAACTAGTAATTACGGTTAAGAAGGTTTAACAAAAGGTATATTGCCCTATTTAAAAAAAGGAATATGCAGTTTAGTTTTCAAATAGAAAACATTTAGATCGCCCATTAAAACATCCAGACAATGTTCAACCACAACTTTAACAACGTTGAGTTGTAGTCGATTGAATGATTGGTTAGCAAATCAATCAATCAATCAATCAATCAATCAATCAATCAATCAATCAATCAATCAATCAATCAATCAATCAATCAATAAATCAATCAATCAATCAATCAAGCAAGCAAGCAAGCAATCAATCGACTACAAATAAACGTTTAACACAGTTACACAAGGGCAAATAAAATTATATAGGTTTGCAAATTATATTCATTGTTTTAAGCGTCTTATTCACTTTTTTAAATTTTTTTACATCAACATTTCAAAGTAAGCAAATCGGTATATGTCATTTAATCTGCACGGCTCGAGTGACCTTACCTATATCCCGAACGACGTAGGAGTTCGGGTCAAAGGATCGTCCCGAGTGTGCAGATTAAATGACATAATTATACCAATTTGATTGGCCAATAACTGTTTAAATACATGACGCCATCAATTTACATGAACGTCTTGGTAATATGCGGACGATATTCAACTAACGGCTCCTGGGAAAGTTCCCTTGTAGGGCAGAGAAAGGGAAAAATAGTAAAAGGTTGATAAATTTTAAATTATGAACTATTTTGTACATTCAGGCTTTCTCCTGTTATATTATTTCAACTGTATTCGGTGTTTAATGTTGAAAACATGTCGCATCTAAACGAAATCTGATTGATCTGCAGTTTTTATTTTTCCTGTTTTGGCGCAGTCATAATTGAATTATTAATAATCTCTTTAAATTCGACCCAAACGTGAATAGTCACTAAAAAGGAAAAAATATTTAAAAAAGTCGTAATAAATTCAGATTTCAATTATTTGGATATTCTAAAATATATTTATTTTTGGGTAGAAATTATTGAAAAAAATAATTATCTAGTTTGACCTTGAAACATTGATTTAAGCTTTACATTGTAAACACATTTTATCATATATAAACATTTCCAGTTTAAGGGTCCTGGAATGAGAAACAATTTATATTTCATATTTTGAAATGACGAAGTTAGTAAAAGTTGTTGATTGATCAACTATGTCGTAATTGCAAGGTCTTTGGCAGATTCGGGGGGCGTAGAGAGCGTACACCACCCTTTGATTTGAAAATATGTATTTTTTTAGCATAAAATCGTCAAATTTTTGTGTGTATTCTTCTTTTTTATTGAATTACGCCTCCTTTGAAAAACCTGGATCTTCCCTTAAAGATAAGAGTGCACTTGAACTGTGCGGTATTTCTTTGGTAGTTAATGCACACCTTAGATGTGCATTATCCAGATTATACCACAATACGATCAAAGGGATTTTTCCTGTCATGTGTTAATTCTATACTAGTATCAACTCAAACCTGCTTACCCTTTGAAACCTAATTTTCTTAAAGGTTCCTTGTTTTGATTCGAGCGTCACTAAGAAATATTATGTTGACTAAACGAAAGTTTAGGTAACTGAATTATAAGTCTAATAGTTTTGACGATTTGTTTTAACTGAACAGATACTTATTTTGATGATTTCTAATGACAGATATCATATTCATGTTCTCCTATATTGCAGGCCAGACAGTAATTATAAAACGGTAGTTATTAACCGTTTCTGATTTTTAAAACAATAACTTAAACTTCTTCGTCATCTTAGGCATTTATTATTCTTCGAATTCTGGAGACTATTATTTGTTCTATTTCTATTTCTATAAATATAGCTGTTGAAATCAATTTCATGAAAAACCTCATTCAGCTATAGATAGAGAAATACGCTATGTACACAAACATCAGCACTATGTATACATAATAGGTTAAATTTACGTTTTTTGTGGTCAAAAGATGTTTGCTGTTTTCCGAAAAAATAACTTGTTTCCTTTTTTCTGGGACTAATACGTTTAGATATTGGTCTCAGCTATTGTTAAATATTACAAGCATTCAAACATATATTCAAAACTATTAATTTAGAGGAATGATTCGCTATTGGATATGGGATATAAGGGTTACAAAAAGGTAGGGATGTTGGAAAAAGAATAAAAAAAGTGGGAAGTGGGAAAAAGTTACAAAAAAGCGGTGCTGGAGAAATGAGCACCACCTTTCTCCCCTTCTATTTAATTATAACTAATATTTCAGCCAATATACCAACAAGTGTGAGTATAGAAAATGTTGGGTTGGAGAAAAAATTAAATGGTATAGAGGGACGAAATCTGATCATAAGATGTTCTGCAGCAGGTGGAGACCCTGCACCTGACGTGAAGTTACTGATATCAGAATCTGTCGTCACAGTAGGCAAGCAATCAGTACAGTATACATTATCATCAGTAAACAGATCTTACGATGGTCAGAATGTTGAATGTTTGGCAGGTTATGAAGAGATTGCTTACTATTCACTGAATGATTCAGCTAGAATTTATCTGAAATGTGAGTAAATTTGATGAATACTGATTAAAATTTCTAAATGCTGTTTAAAAAACTTCAGTAAGCTCAATAAATATCCTATAAACATGTGGAAACGATGAGATGTGGAATTTGCGTCAATGAGAAAAACACACAAACAACCAAATTACATATAGAGAGCAACATGCAGTTTAAAAACAACTGTTTATAAATTTAAGATAAAATAATCAAAGATATGCCATAAAAACCCGATTCCCATTATAATAACAAAACATTAATTCAATATAACACACAACAACTACTAACGTTCTGACCTGCGACAAGCACATCAATATGTGAATGTGTTCAACTTTGTTTTATCTCAACCATGGTTTTCTAGTTTAAATTGTTTCACATTATTTGATAACCGGGCCTTCTATAACTGACTTTACAGTATGAATTTTACTCGCTGTTCATTGTTGAAGAGGTATGGTGACCTATATTTGCATTCATTAACACCTTTTTGGCTCTGGGATAATAGTTGTCTCGTTGTCATTTAAACCACATCTCCTTTTATTGAAGTAGACTAACAAAGGTATTTTCGAATAACTTGACCATGTTTAAACGATGAAGCTCAGTGTTGGAAACTAACTGAAGTTGATCACAGGTCAACATTGATTGCGATTCATTTTATCTTGATGTTTTCTGATCTTGATCTACATGCACGTGTATGCCACTTGCGAAAATTGTACAACATATTTGATATTCATTGTATCAGCATAGTGTTAAATAAAACTTTTAGGAAGATTTGATATACGTCCTTCCAAAGTTACTTTTCTTTGTAAATATGAGATATAATTTTCACTTCAAATAAAATTGGACATACATATCTCCTTTTATCACCTTGCTTGGTTTTGCAATTGCCTATTATCAAATATTTGGGGTGACATAATTAGTGTTAAAGGACCAATTCTTCTTTATTGTATATATGTTGATTTACCTTCATAAGACATCACTTTATTTTGAACACGTATTCGTAAAATGTCTATCAAAGTTGATTTGAAGTAAGTTTATCATATTAGAAAAAAACCATGATAAAAGCATTAAAAAAAAGAAGGAAAATCACCCAAGGAGCCTGTAGTTCAGTGGTTGTCGTTGGTTCATGTCTGTCATATTTGTTTTTCGTCAATTGTTTTGTTATAAATTTGGCCGTTAGTTTTCTCAATTGATTTTTTTCATATTTTTCCTGTCGGGGTCTTTTATAGCCGACTATACGGTATGGGTTTTTCTCATTAATGAAGGCCGTTCGGTTGCCTATATATAATTGCTTACATCCAGTTCATTTGAACTTTGGTGGATAGATGTCTCATATTGGCAATCATACCACATCTCCTTATTTTTAAAAGGGGCAGTCAAAATCATTAAAGTCATATGCAACAAGTTTTTTATCACTATAGTGTAAGGAAATTATTGAACCAATGTATGCATTTATGCTAAACTTAGTCCACTATGCACGTTTTTTTAACATTTATTACGAATCTATGGCGAATTATCGACAAATAATATTTCATTTAGTGATTTGTTGATTTATAGAATAACTAATCGAAGAATTTTAATATAGAATAATATTCAACGAGTGACCGAGCAACATGCGTAGCGCATGAGTTAATTATCAGTGTTGTTCGGTCACGAGTTGAATATTTTTCGATATTTAAATTCTTTGATTAGTTATTCTATAAATCAACAAATTACTGAATGAAATATTATTTCTTACCTTCAAGTTCACATTTGTATACATTCTTTTGATGGTTTTTCCATAACAGTTGTTAAATAATTTGATGTATTCAATTTGTTCTTTAAGAATGAATTATTTCTATCTACCTTTCAGTGCAATTTTGTTTACATTCTTTCATCACGGTTTTTCCCTCGCACTTGCGCTCTGCGGGGGTCAAAGTTCTCACGAGAGGTCTCGCAGTTAAGGTCACTGCATACGGAATAATATCGGCACATTAGAGTACGGGAAGACAATAATTCAATAGCAGTGCATTTCTGAAGATTTTTATAAGATAATGGATTTTCTTTTACAAGGAATTCCACGTACACTTGTGTAATAGTAAAACTTAGCCATTCAAGTATATAAAACATATTCAACTTTTTTTTAATTTGAAGTATTATATTACTTTAAAAGAGGACATACAACAGCATGTCCAAAGGAAAAAAAATAATTGAAAGAAGATAAAAAGTATTCCATAAAACATTACATTTAAAACGACAGATTCACCAACTAATGATATGGAAACAAATGGACATTTTGTTGCTAAAATATTCATGTCAGAATTAATCCAGAGACAAGTCGTATGTGATGATAAGCATATAAATAAGGAAATGTGGTAAGATTTCCAATGAGACAACTATCCGCTAGAGTCTTAATGATATTGATGTAAGGTTACCGTACGAACTTCACTGAGCCAAACAAAAAAACCCGAATAGTCAGCTATAAAAGGTCCTGATATGACAGTCAAAATGTAAAACAATTCAACCGAGAAAACTAACGGCATGATTGATACTAAAACAAAACACAAACATTAGACATGACAGATATAAACCAACGACAGCCACTGAAATATCAATTATTGCACATCCAAAGGATTTTGAATAAATACGTCAAAAACAGTTTGCGAAAAAGCATGATTTAAAGATATTAAGGCATACATTAAGCAAAAAGTATTTTATTACAGACATGTCATATAGAACATGTCAGTGTCGCAGACATTCATAATTGGTCAATCAAATCATTCAAAAAGTTCAAGTTAGTAAATAGAGGCAACAGCAGTATACCGCTGTTCAATAGTCATAATTCGATTAAGCGAAAACAAATCCGGCTTGATTTTTTTTTACATTAACATTTCAAAAACGAATTAAACAGGTAATCGGCAAAAATGACATCCAACCAATTCTATAATTAAAAAGTAACTGAAACATTGGGATTTATTAACTACGATCTATTGCTCCTTGAAAATAGCCACTAAATACCGTATAAGCCATGATTTCCTACAATTTTTTTCCTGACGTTAAAATAATAAAGGCAACAGTAGTATACCGCTGTTCAATAGTCATAATTCGATTAAGCGAAAACAAATCCGGATAACAAACTAAAACCGAGGGAAACACATCAACTATAAGAGGAAAAAAACGGAACAACAGAAACACTGAACTACAACAAAGCAAACGCCAACATACATAGAAACGGACTGTTTGATAACAACTGCCATATTCCTGACTTGGTACAGGACATTTTTAGAAAAAATGGTAGGTTGTTCCTGGTTTTATGGCTAGCCAAACCTCCCGCTTATATGGCAATGTTAAAAATACCGTTAAAATGACAACACTACGTGACAGGAATACATACAAACAAACGCAAGAACACTCAGCACAGAGAAATACATAAATGAATAATATAATAGAACATTACAACACGAAACCGCAGAATAACAACGGACACCTCCCATGTATTTACGACAGCACACCACAAACGAAATATATAAACTGCGCGTCACATAATAGGCATGTTAATGTTGATGAAAAGATATGTTGTTAATTTTACATCATTTTTATGAAGTAGGTATCTTATCATTTAAATTATTGTTTTCAGTAAAGCCAAATCCTCCTATATTCAGCTCTGCCTCAGTAACTACAGAGGAGACCAAACCACTTGTAATTTCGTGTAAATCAAATGGAAGCCGTCCAATGGCTTCGATATACTGGTTACTTGGAAATGGTAGAGCTAATGTTACAACTTACGCAACCCAATTACCACACTCTCATGATCCAACTACTGACACATATACTGTTACATCTACATTAACATACAGTGTTAATAGGTCATATAATGGCCAAAACCTTATTTGTGTAGCCAGTAATGAGGCCACATCTGAACCTGGAGGTAGTGCCGAGACGTCTGAAACACTAAATGTTAAATGTAAGTTAAGAATCGTATCTTATACTGTATGTAGAAGACATGAAATCGTGTAGTTACATACACGAACAAGCTGTTGAAAAGGTAATCGCTTATTATTCGTTAATCGCCATGAAGTTTATGGACACCTTTAGAAATTTAACGGCCTCAAGCATGTGCAAGATTGAATTCGCCGTTTCAAGTGTCACACAATTATGATTGTTTACTCAACATTAATTCCAAAAATATATTATTCTAATCTTTAATTATACTGATAACAAAAATATATTTGTTCGAGTGAACCTATCATTAGTTATATTTATATGTTTCTTTCCTGATATCTATGGTCGTGTTCACATTGAGCTAATCTCGGTGTGGTGTAAGTGTACTGAACACTTACACCCCAGTTCTATTGTTATAATTCATAGTTTCTATTTCTGAAACAAGTGTAAATTGAATAGATCTATTGTTACGAATAACAATGTATTTTGACCACAGGGTGTGACGAGCGGGGTTTCTGGAAACCCCTGCTTCTACATCCCGAAAACAAAGTCCATTGTTATTCATTACAATAGAAGTTGATTTTTTTTAAATAGCATGAACATAAGAAATTACTTATAGTGTTCACTACAAGTTGTTTCAAGATATTAAAAAACACATTTTAGGAAATTCCAATAGCGAAAATAATATTAAGCATCTCATGATTTTGAATAAAAAAAAATCCTTCAAGGGAAAAATGATTTAAAATGGCTGCTCCCTAAATACTCCTTTGCTTGAAGGTAAATTTTTTGATCCCAGTCATATGTCTCTATTCTAAAACATTGATCTTTAAAAAAAAACAGGGATTCTAACTCCCGGACACCCCCCTCCCCAACCCCCATCCCACCCCCCTCCTTGTCCAAATATGAATGTTTGTTTATTCTCGAGAAGGGGGGGCTTCTTTTTTTCTTCTCTATAAAACCGTAACATACAAAATACATTTATGATTACCTTCATTAAACTGATACAGGTAAGTACTTTGGGTTATAATATTGCCTTTATCTTTAGTCTCTTCTACCAAATCCAACGCTTGACTCAAAATGTCGTCCGTCTTATACCCGTCCATATTGACAACTGCATACAAGGAGCATGATGTATTTTTTTTTGTGATAAGAATGCACGAAACGGTCAACCTTGAACTTCTGATCCATATTAGCACCAGGATGTAACGGGAATATGCAAAACAGCAACTTTGACATTTGTAAAATCTACTCACTTGTCAAAGTTTGAAAGAACATAGCCAAAGTAAGGTTACTAGTGGGGTTTCATGTAAAAAAAAAATTTTCTTACAATTCATGGTTCGATTTTGTCAATGAATATGCTATCCATTCTTTTTCATTTAAAAATCAATGTTAACAAATATAGGGTTTAGCATTGGGTGTAAGTTAGTTATACACTTCGGGATACGGCGTGTCTGGATAAGAAACACCACCGGCCTCCGGCCGTCGGGTTTTCTTATCCAGACACACCTATCCCTCGGTGTATAACTATAACTTAAACTAAAGTCCATTACGTTCCTATTGATAAAAATCAATGTTTACATGAAGTTTAAAACAGGTTTTGACCACAAGCAGTCGATACTCAATGTAGACCTTGTGTGACTTAAGTGTACAAAAAACTAGATATTAAGAACGTATATTTTATTATGAATATTTAAGGAAGTTACATATATTGAGTAAAAATGATTATAATAATATCATGAATTAAGTTATTTACCTATTTATATGTCAAAAACTCCAAAATTGCCCAGTTAATAGCATGATTAAATTCAAATAGTTTTAGTGGACCATGTGATTTTCAGTGGGAGGGATTTTTTTTGGCTGATGGAATATTCATTTTACACCTGTTTATAGTACGGCTTATTTATTTAGCGCGAAAATTATTTTCATGCTTGGTACACAACTAGTGTAGGACAAAATATTCATTGCATCCTGTTTTTGGACAAGGTTAATTGTTAACAGTCACAGTAGTCCCAGTCCAGAATATCGATTTCCAAAATCATCCCAGGGGTGACTGGTGACTAGAAATATGGTCAATTAGGTCTTCTTCCGATCGGCATTAGAACCCTTACCAAAGTGGGGCGTCCGTTTAGCTGTGCGGGATGTACAAGTACTCGGCCACGTCCGGTCAGAATGGGAACATTAAATTCGACTGCCTCGTGTATAGTGAGTACCATGCTCGCTGCATGTAAAGAACCGTTGCAACAACTATTTGAGTTCATCTCCAAATTTAAAAAATACATATCCGGCGAAATGACATTCATTTTTGGTACCTAAATATTACCTTATATTTTATTGTCTAAATAAACAATAGGATTGGATACAATTTATAACAACTCTGTATAAATCAGCTTTTAAGGGACTACATCTGTGTCGTAATTGTGTATGCAATATGTTTTCTTTCTATCCGATTTCCAATAAGGTAATATTTAGGTACCAAAAATGAAATGTCATTTCGCCGGATTGTATTTTTGAAATTTGGAGATGATTGAATGGATCTAATATCTAACGGCAATAAATTCCATGCACGAATTGAGGATGGGAAAATGATTTTGAAAATATCTCTATTCTACATATCGGTACTCTATAGTGAGAATGGTTTCTAGTATTATAATAATTATCATCTGCATAATCTGAGATACAAAATCCATAAGATCTTCTGGAACATTATTATTATGAATTTTATGAAATAAACATAATTTTCGTCTATTTCTTCTTGAACTCAAAGTTTCCCATCCAGTTTAAAAAATAATGGATTCTTTGCTTGCAAATTTCGGAAGTCCAGTAATAATTCTTGCTGCCTCAACCTGCGAGGGCTCAATTTTTTCAGAATCTCTAACACAATACCCATCATCCCATAGCTCGCATGCATATTCTAAAAGTGGAAGTACGTATGCGAGATATATCTTATTAAGATTGTTTCTGTTAATATATTTCAATTTCCTGAGAACAAAAATCGGTTTAGTGGCACTACAGCAAATATATCTATATGTACTGACCACTTGCAGTTTCTGTTCACGTTGCTCTTCCCAAGTGCATAAATGATCATTATAATATTACGACAGATGCTCCAGACATTACAGTGAACAGTCCTCCATATACACAGAATGATGCTATCAGAACAGTAACATGTCATCCTAGTGGTAACCCAGATAGTTATACATACCATAAATGGCAGCACAAGTCCAGATATGGAGATCTTATACGAGAGTTAGATGGAAATAAAACCTTGAAGATACCTAATGTCCCAGTGTTGTTAAGATATCAGGATAGTGGAAAATATGTGTGTACAGCCAGTAATGGTATAAGGGATAATGACAATATGTTTGAACAGATTGGTTCTGGATATGTAATCGTGAATGGTAATGCACTATTGTTAAAATTTGATAAAAGCGAATTATATTGTTCTCATCTGTTCTATGCATTATGTTTTTTCGTTATCTATGATTTCAAAAGTTTTTAATGAATGATTGTGTCCACTGATAAACGATACACGATAAAACTTTGTGAGGTTTTTTTTTTCAATGTAGGACTAACAATTAATCACGAGAATGAAACATTTTTATAGGTTAAAACATTTGTAATTCTGTTTTTTCTTTTGAGTAAAAGTTCCAGATGGTCAAGAGTTTGCAATTTTCACCTTCTCAGAAGTAAAACTCCTAGATATTCAAGGGGTTTATAATTCTCTCTCTCCTTTTGAGAAAAAGTACTAGATGTTCAAGAGTTTGTAATTCTCTCTTTTTTCTGGAGTAAAGTTACCAGCTGATGGGTTTGAAATTCTCTCTTTCCTTTGGAATAAAAGTGTTAGATGTCCAAGAGTTTGTAATTTTCTGTTTCCTTTGAGATAACAGTATTAAATATTCAAGAGTTAATTAAATACTAGAACAAAGGAAACTCTCAATCATGCTCAACATCTGTTTAATCCAATTATTAATTAATCATTTAAATGGAATTTTAAGCAAGGTAAGTCTTGTGCGATTTTCTGGCATGTATATTTTTTTCTTATTATGATTAACTATTGATTTCATACGTATATTGTTACATGTATTATTTCAGCTCAGCCAGTGTTTACATCTGATACCATTGACAAGGCCAAACAGTTTGGTGAAATCAGTAAAGCTGTAGATATATATGTTAATGTATATAGTGTTCCAAAATTCGCCATTTACATATGGACTCGCGATGGAAAACCAATAACAACACAAAATTTAGCAAAATATGCATCATCTAGTTCTCCTACTATTGTTTATGATAAGGTTCATGGGAAGGAAGTACACCTAGATGGTTATAAAGTAACACTGACCATACGCGATTTGACAGCACAGGACTTCAATAATTATTCTTTAACACTTAAAAGTGGATTTGCAGATGTAACGCACACTATTGTATTGGAATCTACCAGTAAGTATGCTGATTAAGTATAACTTAATTCTACATTTCAATGAAAGTTCAAGATTGATTTTAGGATGTTATCCATCCATCCGTCCATCTTACATACTGATAACGAAAACTTCAGGTTTTTTAAAATCCCTTTTTCGATCTATTTAAAAGATCAAAATATACAAAACTATTGCTGCATCTCATTAAAACGGACAGTTTTGGCATAAATTCTAAAGATGTGAAATTTTATATATTATGTGTATACTTTTTTACTTGTTAAAGTCACATTATGTAACTCCTAAAACTGCTATAAAAAAATCAAAGAAAAACAAATAAAACCCTTGATATACGGTTTTGTTTATTTTAGTTAGTCAAAACGTTATAATTACACTTCAATCTTAATTTAATATGTGTCAAGCAAATTAAGTTTCAATTCAGCAACCTTTCGCCTTTTTAACCAAGATGTTTATTCAAGTTTCAATGTATGTTAGAATGGACATATTTGTCTAACACAGATTTTTCATCTGCACGTATGCAAAATGTAGACGAATTGTTTAATGCCGAAGGAATATATATTACTTTAAGAACAATCAGTTCACAATTATCGTCAATAACATTATTTCATGTGTGATTTGTTAGATATTGGTTCTTTTAAAATATTTACCATTCTTTCTTTGGGGCGAGCAAAGTTCCACTGCTTATCTTGTGTCACTTGTATTGTCAATGATGTTAGAATCCGAGTAGTCTTTATTTTGGCGTTGTCCTTCTAGATTAGTGTTGATAATCCACAGAAAACGTTAGTTAACAAAATCTTAATATCATGATCAAATGTGCATTGTCTTATGATCAGATGTAAAAGTTTGAAATAAAAACAAATAAAAATAATTTTATCTGGAAAAAAAAATAAAAAAAATAAAAAAGTGTGATACTGTGCATACGAAACATGTTTTTGGTTACTCTTACCAGACATTTAAATATCACAACGTTCAACCGACCAGTATCATTTAAAACAGCACCCAACGGCTACGATCATGCACCATGCAGTATTTACTTAAAAAGCATGCCAGGAAGTTAGTATGTATTTCATTTCAATGTTTCTTCATTAAAAAGTCTTGATTTGAACGGAGTTTTGTTCTACACTTTATGATGAGAAAAGACATTTTTAAATCATTTTTACGGTTTGTTCCTATGTTGTGCTCTTATACTACTGTCCCAGTTTTGAGGAGGGCGAACGCTCACAAAAATGTTCAACCCCGCATCATTATTTATTTGCCTGTCCCAAGTCTGGAGCCTGTAATTCAGTAGTTGTCAATGGTTGCTATCTATCATATTTGTGTTTGTTTAATGTTTATTTCATAAATTAGGTCGTTAGTTTTCATGGTTGTGTCAATTATATTTCATTTCGTTTTGTCATGAAGATATGAGTTTCGCTCATTTTAGGAGACAATACCATAACCTATTATAGTTGTTTAAATCAACGTCATTTTCTCTTTGGAGGATAGTTATCTCATTGGCAATCTACAAAACTCCTTATCTTATACCATTAGTGTTGTTTATTAAGGGAAAATGCTAACTTTTTAAGAAATTGAATTGCTGGTCCTCAAAATTTGACTTTGTTCAAATGTTCTGACTTAAAGCTGATTTTTGTATCCACAAATGGTCATTACAATCGAACTGTGGGAGACTGACATTTGAAAGTACAGTTTGTAGACTTCACATATGGCTTACCTCAAATATAAAAATGATAAGAAAAATTGATGAATTTACCCCAACCAAAACTGCGTACTGGTATTTGGTACAATGGTCGCCATATTTTACCACAAAATTTGGCGATTTTCGGTAAATGGAGAGGAAATGGAAAAATGCTGTTTCAAATTAAAACAATCATTTTTGTCATAAATAAACCCTTGGTTGAAACTTAAAAAACTACGAAAAATTTTGCGACAAAAACTGGTTCAGACGTAATAAAAAAAATACCTTAAAAATTTTTGAATCGATGCGAACGGTATTTCTCTCTTAATTTGGGTGATAAAATATTAAAACAATATTTCAAACGGAAGTGATCCTTAGATTACTAGTATTTTGCGCATTATACATGCCGGCTAAAGTATAGCATAGATTAATCTAAATCCAGTAAAATGAGACGTAAAAAAAGATGCAAAATAAAACTGTAAAAAAATATAACCAATAGAGATATTGTGCATTCTTGACATTATCATTAACAGAAGATTACAGGATTCTGTTAGAGTCACATGTATGTATGTGTCACAGAAAAGATTTTGATTATTACAGTTTTAAAACTAAATAAGCATAAAGTTCTTTTTTAAAATCGGTAAAATATGATTGTTCAAACACTACAAAAACACGTAACTCTTTAGTTATTGTATATATGCTTTGACGAACGTAAATTGTCAACAGTGCTAAAAGATGTGATGGATGTATAAATTCCCTACCTCGTCTGGTCTGTGATTTTGTTACATGTTTTTCAACTTTGTATCGATCTAATAAGTTAAACCTTTTTCAACTGGTTTTTATAGTTCGTTCTTATGTTGTGATGTTACACCACTGTCACAGGTTAGGGGAGGGTTGAGCGCTCACAAAAATGTTTAATCCCGCCACATTCTTTATGTGCCTGTTGCAAGTAAGGATCATGTAGTTCAGTGTTGTAGTTTGTTCATGTCTGTTATATTTGTTTTTGTGAATTATTTTGTTATAAATTCGGCTGTTAGTTTTCGCAATTGAATTGTTTTATATTTTTCATATCGGGACCTTTTATAGCCGACTACACGGTTTGAGGTTTTCTCATTGGTGAAGGCCATACGATTGCGTATAATTGCACACATCAACTGTATTTAAACTTTGATCGATAGTTGTCTCATTGGCAATTATACCACATCTACTTATTTCTATATACAAGCCAAAAATTCGATACAAGCTCAGTTTGGCCTCCGGTTTTCTTACTTTGCCCATGTTATAGAATACCATCTCCGAGATTTTACATTTAATCTTATCGCATTGGTTTAAACAACTACTTGTAAACTATGTCAACGGTTTATTACCTAGGTGTACCAGAGACTCCGGGTAATTTTAGTATGACAACAACATCAACTACTAGTATTACAATGCAATGGGATCCAAAATCTGGTGGTGGACACAAACAAGCATTTTACATTCAGTACAGAGTCCAAGGAGCATTTGAGTGGTATACTACATTGGCTGGTGAGGAAGATATAAACGAGCCAAAGAGACGAAGAATATATGAAGTAATAAACTTACAGAAAGGCAAGGCCTATGGACTGAGAATTTATGCTGAGAATAGAGCAGGGAAAAGAAGTAATGTCACAGAAGTGTTCATTGCCGTTACTGAAACTTCAGGTACAAAAAATGACGGAATTATTCTAGCTATAAAATCGCCATTTTGTTATGCTGTTCACGCTTCTCTATTATATCAGATTCCCTTCTACCATTATTATATGAACTGCTTAAATCTGTCTAGCTTTAGAGTCGGGATCTGTAAGAGAACTGGTTATATGGTTTTCATATTTTTTTTCATCTATAGTTATAAATCAACATAAAAAATAATAAATATTTATAGACTTCCTTGCCGGAAGCAGATGCAAGATTAATATTTTGAATGAAAACAAGCGCTTCTTTAATCCTCTGAGTCCAAATCGGACATATATGTCCACCACTGTCCGGGTCCCAAGAGGACACATATGTCCAATTCACATCGTTATGAAACACAATCGAGTAGAACTCGGAAAAAAACCAACAGAACTTATAAAGTTCTCATTTTAAAACCTTTTACTACACACCATTTTCTACGTATTTTCGTGCAAATCTACCCGGGCAATACATCAAACAGACTGTCAATGTTTTGAAACTTTGTTACATTTCTTGATTTCATTTTCATTTTCTTTCATGTTTATCCGAGTTATATTTATACTTTTATTCTGTGAAGTAATTTATTCTTAAGCCGGCAAACTATAGGATTTTGATTTTATTAACAACAGATTCTGTATTTGCTTTTGAATATTTCCCGGTATAATGTTTGAAAAAATAAGAATATTGACAAATTTTGTACTAAGTTTTTGGCGTATCGTGACATCAACGAAATTAGTTTTAATGACGTCTAATATCACGCCGTAAATTAATGTCGGGCACTCACCGTCGTCTTCATTTGGTTGATAGCTTCAAATTGCTTATTAAGAAAAATCAATAAGGCTTTTTCAATAAATAACCAAAAACATGCTTTTTGAATAATCTGAAATGTCAAATCTTTAACACCACAAAGACCGTGACTTAACATATATATCTTAATTTGACAAACTGGTTCTTAAGAGGTTTTAATGTTAAAATAGACCTAACTTTCCATTTCGAAAATAATAAAATATTATCGTCGAAAATTCAATGTCAGGACATCGTCAGAACTTCGAAAAAAATATATTTGTAGGCCAAAATATAGATATTTAAGTCAGTATTTACTTTTTCGTTCTTCTTAAGACAAAAAAAAAAGAATAAAAACTAACAGTAGAATTCAGCAGTATATTTAAAAAAAGGCTAAATTATAAGAAAGAAAAAACATTATGAATCAATGACACAAGTTCTTATATAAAAACAAAGGAATTTTCAAAATATGATTTACTAGTAGTTTCCATCTCTAATGATTTGAGTAAACAAGAAATACTAAATAAATAACTAATCAGTACAGGCTGTAAATTTATGGATAATAGTGCATTTTTATGTTTTGAATTTGATTTGCTTTATGTTACTTTTTTCTTGTTAATGCTCTTCAACTTAATCATAATAAAAATTAGAGGAAGTGGCATGATTACCAATGAGACAACTCTCCACCCACCAGAGACCAAATGACCTAGAAGTTAGCAACTATGATAGGTCACCGTACGGCCTTCAACCTGATACCTTTTTTTTGTACAATAACCAAACATCAAGAAGATATCAAACCTTAAATAGCGCCTAGTAAAGACAACTTGTAATCAACTATCACAAACGGGTGGGGAGTTATACATATACTAATTCCTCGTCCTTCTACATCGATAAGTAAAATATTAAAACACATACACACTGCGACCACATTTGAAGAATATATGATTATAAATGACCCTTTTCAACGAAAGTAATTTGACATAAAAATCTTCTATAAATAAGTATGTTGCAAACTAGTCAGGAACCTGATGTCCAGTGGTTGTCGTTTGTTGATGTGGTTCATAAGTGTTTCTCGTTTTGTATATAGATTAGACCGTTGGTTTTCCTGTTTGAATGGTTTTACACTAGTCATTTTTGGGGCCCTTTAAAGCTTGCTGTTCGGTGTGAGCCAAGGCTCCGTGTTGAAGGCCGTACTTTGACCTATAATGGTTTACTTTTACAAATTGTGACTTGGATGGAGAGTTGTATCATTGGCACTCATACCACATCTTCTTATATCTATAGACGTTTATCAAGCAACAATCAATCAAAATACAAAGTGACAATTGTCTTTATATAATATTCTCCCCTTTCTTGTAAGATCTGACATAAAGGGGACAACACTATTTGCTATATAAAAACCAATCAAATTAAAACATAGATCCAAGATTTTGTTATGTTCATAAGAGTAAGCGAATTACAATAGATCAGATTGATGAAAAATTTATTTAGGGCATGACATATTGTGTTTATACTAAACATGTCTGCTAGATGTTTACTCGTCATTTTGTTGTTTGCTTGCTGTCTTATTGACGCATACCCCGCATCTCTTTTTATTCATAACTGTTCTGTATTGAAGATAGACTGATTAGATGCACCCCTAAACTTCATCTCCTTCGCCCCAAAAAAATAATAGTAAAGTTAGGTCATTATTTAGTAACTTTTGGCAAACACGTACAGTAAAACAAATGCATCAGTGTTTCAAGGGACTAATTAGATGACTTAGTAAATTTTATTTCTTTCGTCCAAATTAGGGAAAGGCCTTAAAAATTAAAAATATACGGATCTTTGAGAAGATGTTCAATTCCCAGAATTTCTTTTATTTGCTGTAGAATTTCTTTTTCTTTGCTATTCAATGATTATATAATGTGTATTCTATTTCCACTCTTACATCGAAACTGTGTCTAAATTATAGTGCCCGTTCCATCATTACTGAAAATAACTCGTAAGAAGTTAGTAAAATGTCCCAAAATGTGATTGAGGAAGTCAGTGTTCATAACCTTTTTATTTAATTTGAAACAGTTCCTGCCAATCAACTTTTTGCTAGGAGTTTTCACCAACAAAAACAAATAATAATGAAAAAGTTAAAGAATTCAAGTTGTATTGCATGATTCTTTAAATTATTTAGATACTAGTTAAATAGTTTTTGATACTTGAAGTACCAGCTAGTCAAACAACGCATTAACGATTAAACAGACATACATAATCGTATATATACTGCTCTTTTAAAACGGAGTATAAAACTGTATGCCTTAGTACATGTATTTGATAAATTCTGGGTATGATTTTTTTTATTAAGTAGAATGTATTTATTTTTTCTCACCATGGTTAACGGCTTGAAAATTTTATCTGTATTATCTGGAAAATTATAATAGATAAGTATGAACTTTAAACAGCCAAAATGCTGTGTAAAATGTAACCAAATATATGTTTAATGCATGATATACATGTCAAAACAGATCTCATAAGATGCCTTAATTTTATTTAGTACTTTAACATCAATAAATAGGAATATTTCAAGTGAAAGCAGTATTCATCAATAGTCTCTCGAATGCAAATATTTAGCCTTGCCCACCTTTTACCTTATTTGGAAAGTTAGTGTAATCACGAAGCTTGCATTTAAGTTTTCATATGATGCGCACATTTTAAGATGATCATTTTATTAAAATTCTTGGCGTCTGTCAACGTTTACCGTAATTATTTTCAAAGACCCTCTTCTCAATGACTGTCATAAAATTAAGGTTACCAGAGGTAAAAGTTTACAGTGAAACAATATCGGAAAATATGTTTTCAGATGAAAGGAAATGAAAACAAAACATGTAGAAATTATCTTTAGAAAGAACTTACCATGTGTTCTATTAAAAGCCTATTTCTGTTTTGGGGCAAAATAAACCCAGGTGAGGGATTCAGGCTTCCAGGAGCCTATAGTTTAATTGGATATAAGAAGATGTGGTATGAGTGTCAATGAGACAACTCTATCCAAGTCAAAATTTATAAAAGTAAACCATTATAGGTCAAAGTACGGTCTTCAACACGGAGCCTTGGCTCACACCGAACAACAAGCTATAAAGGGCCCCAAAAATTACTAGTGTAAAACCATCCAAACGGGAAAACCAACGGTCTAATCTATATAAAAAACGAGAAACGATGAACCACACCAAAAAACGACAACTACTGAACATCAGATTCCTGACTTAGGACAGGTGTAAACAATTGCAGCGGGTTTAAACGTTTTAATGGTACCAAACCTTCACCCTTATCTGAAACAATAGTGTAACATCACAACATAGAAAGACACACTATAAAATATCAATTGAAATGGCTCAACTCAACCAAAAGACATATTAACACCAGTTAACATACACTGAACAAATAAATTTGATCTATGATACAATGTAAATACAAAATAAATAAACTAAGGGAAGAATAATAATAGTAACATGTTATATCGCTGTGAAATGTTAAACAATTTAAGAAAAACAATATGCTTGAACAAAAATATCAGCCATTTGTAATTACTTTAAACACAGGAAAATGAAAATAATTTTGTTGTTTGGTATACGTGTACAGTTCAAATAGAGAAAGGAAGTATTTTTACAAAATAAAGAATTTTGATGTTCATAGTACGAAGAAGTGAAAATTTATAGTAATACAAAACACTTATCAAAGCTGGTATATAGACCAGATATAACCCTGAATAACATTGAATAACAAAAAAAACATTTCAATTAGTAGCAAGAGGTCAAATAAACAAGAAAGTACGATTTGAGAGTACTCGCAGTTACTGACAGCTAGTTAAAAGCAAAGAACAATCAATAAAAAAAATCATGCATCAGAGACTAAAATTGAATAAAACACATCCCTGGATTTAGTATTTTAACGTCATGGACAGTAAAAAAAGACATGACTTGTGCAATGCCAAAAAAAATGTATCGACAGGCAATAGGATAGTTAGGAGTAAACCTCTTTATAGATCAAAATGAACGTGGGTGTGTCTTTATACATCCCGTTTGAAAAGAATACAAAAGTTATGTTTTAATTTGCTGATCACAAAATCAATATTAGTGCCAATGTAAACTATATTCAAAGATCTAATTACAACATTGGTAAGATAACCTTTACTAATAAGTTTGTTTAAAGGTTCGATGAGTTTACACGGATCACATAGTGATTTCCGCGCTTTAATTACAATATTACCGTAAAATTTAGGATGTGAAATACCGTTTTTAATCTGTTTTCTACAGGTACAGCCAAATTTACAATCAAATCTTTGTATCTATGAAAGAATTTAGTAAAAGTTTTACGTAATTTATGGTAACGAAATCCCTGACTTAATAATTTACCAGTGATGCATTGATTATGTTCGTTAAAATCTATGACATCACTACACACACGGGCATAACGAACGAGTTGGGATTTATAAATACCGTATGATGGAGCCAAAAGAACATCGCCGTCTAAAAAAGGAAAATTAACAATAGGGAATGAAAAGTCGTCTCTTTTGTCGTAAATTTTAGTATGGAGTTTTCCTTTAGAGATTGAAATGTCCAAATCTAGAAAAGGACAACTACTGCTGTTTATGTTAGATTTAGTTAAAGTAAGTTCTTTTGGGTAAATTTCGGTAGTATATTTAGAGAACTCTGGATTATTTAACGATAAAATATCATCTAGATAACGGAAGATATTGTTGAATATATCAACCAAATATAACAATGACGTGTCTTTACTGAGTTTGGTAATAAACTGAGATTCATAGCAATACAGGAATAGATCTGCTATTAAAGGGGCGCAGTTAGTGCCCATAGGCATACTTACTACTTGTCGATACACTTTATCGCCGAAACGTGCATATATGTTGTCCAGGAGAAAATTTAAAGCTTCAATCATATCTTCACATTTCTAGTAAGTGTATCTAGCATACTTTCCTTTTTCGTTACAGAAAAAGGCTTTAAACGAGTTAAAGTGTAGTATAGAGAGTAGAAAAATCTTAACTGTCAACAGAATCAAAAGGACCATCAAAAGCATGTATTTCATCTAAAACCTCTAAAGAATTTTTAACACTCCAAAATAATTAATACCATTATTTTCATAAGCTTTATTACAAAAGTTAATAACAAGTTCTTTGATAGTAGTAAGGGAGGTAGTTGGAAGCACTGATAGATTGGTAGTAGAACACTTACTAGATGCGGAGATGAAACGGAATTTAAATAGTTTTTTGTGCAATTTAGGTAACCAGTACATAGAAGGGACTTTCAAATGTTCGGAAGAGGCTTTAAGCAGGGTAGTGGCAGTGAATGCTTGTTTACAATTTGACTCTCTGTGGAGCGTACGGACCTGAATGTAGATGAATTTGTAATTTCGTTTTGGAAACTTCCCTGTAGTATATGCGTCACACCACCACTATATTATTTGCTGCTTTGTCTGCCGGTACGAACACAAACCGCTTTGCGAGTACTTGGAGTTTATTTTTTATTCTAGAAATGGGAATATCACGGACCCTATTACTAATTTCAGAATTGTTTTTAAAATGAGATATAGGAATATTAACAGTATTCATAATTTTATTCAAATAACTGTCTAGAGATTTTTATTAGATTTTTCACGTTTACACCAATTTTTACAGTAGACAGACCGTCTTTAATGACCTGACGACACTGTTTCCAATCTATTTAAGATGGAGGACGATATTTCGGTCCTTTCTTAAGAAAAGTTATGATCTCACGGTCTTCGACGATGTTGAGGTCTCCTGTAAGGACATGACCATAGGGAACATATCTAAAACTAGATGTTTCACAGTCTCAAGTGGAAGGAACATTATTTTCTATATTGACGTCTGATGTAACTGACGTATAATTTAAAATCAAACTTCTGCTGGTTGTTTTTATAAGAATACGAAATAATAGGTGGTTCTATATTTATCAAAATATGGAGGTATTTGGCTTTGGATGGTAGAGTCATTGAATATACTAGATAAGTTAATAAAATCAATACCTCTATTTATATATTTTAATTTAAGAAAATGCCGTTTATGATTTTCAGGTTTATCGATACTAGGAAATAGCCTATGATGTAATAATACGGGTGTATTCATACATTGGGCTAAAAAAAGAAATTTTATCACACTCCAGAAAAATAGCATATAATTTACTTATTGGTATCTGACCCAGTTTGCATAATAATTGATGTCTGCCATTATTTTTTATTATAGATAACAGATCAGCAAGTGAATAATTTATACGATGTTTAATACGTTGGTTACGGTTTTTGCGTTTGCCATGAGACCTTTTATTTCTAAGTCGTTTATCGACAATACTAATGACATCGATTGAAGTTTTAGTTATATTCCCCTGTCCTAATATTTTGTCATTAAGACCGAGAGGATAAGCTGTTTGAAGTCTTTTTATCCAAAATAATTCGCGAACTTCACGTGATTTTTCAAATTGCTTGTGTGATTCTCCTGGTTGTTTCTGAACGGTTTCAAGTGGTTGGAATTTTATAAATCTTAGATTGTGATTATACTTATCTAAATGTTGATATATCAAACTTTTGAATTTTTTTAGGTCTACGAAAGCAGTAAAGGTGTTCTTGATTTCTTTTGTAATACTCTCGTCCCGTCTGTCCCACATATTGTATACCACACTTAGGTTGGGTTCAAGTTACCACATATATAAGGTTTTGAGATTTTCAGGTAATGTCACAGGAAAATGAGAGCGAAAAAGCTCTCCCGTTCACTGTTGACCTTACAGTATTTTGTGAAGTTAATCTAAAACAGGTTAGTCACTTTTTGGCATTGCACGGGATAATTTGTGGATATCCACGTGCATTTTTGCTAAAGAATCTGGCTGTAGAGGCATTACAAATACGTTTGCTTAAGCACGTGGATATCCTAGAAGTTGTGTTGTTTATAATTTTTTTTCCATTATGTAAAATCATGATAATTAAATAGGGGTATAGGAAAAATAAAAATGACCGGAGGTTGTAACAATGAATAAGGATCACAATTACGGAATAGGAAATAATAGGCAAAGCAGTAAAAGAACTCTTACAAAAACTGTTATAAAAGGCCCTACGTAAAGACTTAAGTATTACAATACTGACATATAGCATACACAGGGCAAAACAGAGATTATAAGAAATCTTAGTAAAACCATAGCAGGGGGCAATAATAAAAAAGCGATGAGTATTTATACATCCAAACACCATAATATATAATTAACAATTAAGAACAAAGATATAATAAACATGTGAAAGCTCTCTCACAGGCAAACAACCCATAATTGAATAATATAAGGGCATACACCACAAGCACGGCGACACATTCTACTGCATCTACACAGCACGAGCAACCAACCCTGTAGTAAATAGATATAAGAAGATGTGGTATGAGTGCCAATGAGACAACTCTCCATCCAAGTCAAAATTTAAAAAGTAAATCATTATAGGTCAAAGTACGGTCTTCAACACGGAGCCTTGGCTCACACCGAACAGCAAGATATAAAGGGCCCCAAAATTTACAAGTGTAAAACCATTCAAACGGGTTGTTGAAAAACCTGTGAAAAGAAGTATCAATACAAAATTGTGGAAAATACTCTTTGAAGCCATATGCAAAGGAAGAGGTTTGACAGAGACACTGATTGATGTAATGCCCGACAATGGACATTCATTTGTTAAACATATATTTAAGACTTTAATTATTTTTGATCTTCTAAATGACCCGAAATAACATTAACAAATGCATATATTACCTATAAACATGTACTGAACAATGTATTTGTGTTATTATCATAAACAATGATAATGTAAATAAATGTAAAACTTAATATATGGATCTAATTTTAAAACACTAATATATTTAACAGAAAAAATATAGAGTACTGACTATAAATTTAAATAGCGATCAACTCCTTTGTCCTTTTTAATCATAAGATAAAGCATTTTGGTTGTTGGAAAATTGTAAAATGAAAGAAATGTTACATGAACTTGTGATATGCATTGATGATTTGATCTTAAAGCAAATTGACGATGTAATTTTTCTAAGTCAAAGAGTATCTTATTAATTGAGATATGTTGCATTTTACCAACAGAGAATACTCAAATCGAAATCAATGTTGACAAACCTGTTAATTTGTCATTACAGAAACTTCGACAACAAGAAGTGCTGTTATTGGTGGTGTGGTAGGTGCTGTAGTTACGTTAGGAATTGTGTGCGCTTCTGTTATGGTGATCGTGCTCTTAAAAAGGAGAAAAGGTATCAACTTATGCAATAGTAGTTCAATTTAAGCTCAAAATCAATAAAATACAGCGATCTCTTTTTCTGACGTTGCACTATATCAAAGGTGGTACACTTTCAAGTTAACGAAAAAGTTGCCGTAGTTTTCTTCAATAATAGTACGTATAAATAATTGAAAAACACTTCAATGTTTTGGATAAAATTACTATAAATTTAGCTCCTTTCTATATCCATTATACTTATTTTATCACCAAATATGTGAGAAATATTTTGAGTTTTATCAAGATTGTGAAAAAATGGTGAATCAAATACGTTTATGTTTTGTTAAATAAAATTATGTTTTACTCATAGAAAAAAAAGAAGTGTTTTTCTTCTTCTCGTACGGTATGGTACATGTACGACTTCACGATAACGAAAGTGTTTTGCTGTGTAACGTTTTCATTCCACATTGGCTAAAGGTTTAGGGGGAGGCTTGAGATCTTACAGAACATGTTAAACCCCGCCGCATTTTTGCTCCTGTCCCAAGTCAAAATCCTCCAGCCTTTGTTAGTCTTGTGTGTTGTTTTTTTTAATTTTAACTTTGGTTCATTTGTATGTTTCGGAGTTTAGTGTGGAGTCCATTTCGCTGAACTAGTATACATTATTGTTTCGGGGTCAGCTGAAGTCCGCCTGCGGGTGCGGACTTTTCTCTCTGCGTTAAAGACCTATTGGTGGCCTTGGACAGTTTTCTGCTCTTTGGTCGGGTTGTTGTTTCTTTGACACATTCCCCGTTTCCATTCTATATTCTATTATCCTACATTTTGTTGATACTGTTTTACTTATATTTTTTACTTATATTGCACGAGGTAATGAGTTTCCAAGACTGTTTATGACGTCTTTACACTAATTCCGTTTGATGTGTACTGATTGATTCTTAGTCTGGGAGAACATGATTAATTTATTAGATGTAATTGGCTTTGAACTAGCTTTCAGTAACTGCGAATACTATTATTTCGGCGATTTGTGTCCACTGTTTTTATGTTAGTTGTTTTTGTTCTTATGTTGTGCTGTTACACCACTGTCCTACGTTAGTAGGAGGGTAAAGTGCACAAACATGTTGAAACCCGCCACATTCTTTATGTGCCTGTCCCAAGTCAGGAGCCATTAGTTCAGTGATTGTCGTTGGTTTATGTAGGTCATGTTTTTTGTATATTGTTTTGTTATGAATTATGCCGTTCATTTTCTTGTTTGAATTGTTTCATTTTTTTCATGTCGGGGCCTGTTATAGCCGACTATACGGTATGGGTTTTTCTCACTGTTGAAGGCCGTACGATTGCCTATAATTGCTTACAATCACTGCATTTGAACTCTGGTGGATGGTTGTCTCATTGACAGTTATACCATATCTCCTTATTTTTACATTATACATCAAATATGACAAATGACATTAAATTCGGTTTAATGTGGAATTTACAGACCCAAGAATACATGTATAATTGTGTTCAAGAAAAGAAAAAAAGTCATAAATTGTTTAATACTGCCGTTTTTTTTTCTCTATTTTGTCAACATACTTTATGTATTAGTTGAACTTGGGTTTGGACCAGCTTTAGTAACTGTGAGTACTCTTTGATGGGTACATTGTGCTCTATTTACTAGTTGTTGTTTTCTGCTTTGTAAAAATCTCACGAATCTATCCCTTTCCAACTGATTTTTACAGGTTGTTCTCACATTATGCTGTCCTAGGTTAGGAAGAAGGTTTAGCGCTTACAAACATGTTAAGTCCTGCCATATTTAATTGCCTGTCTTATGTTACGAGCCTGTAAACCAGTGGTTGTCGTTTGGTACTGTTTTTTATATTTGTTTCTCGTCTATTGTTTTTTAAATAAATTTAAATCAGGCCGTTTGTTTTCCCTTGGACATTGTTTTATAACTATCATACCAGTATCTTTGATAACTGACTCTACGGTATTAGTTTTGCCCATTGTTGAAGGCTGTACGATAACCAATATGTGTTTACATCCTCGCCCTTTGGTCATTGGTGGATATACATATATTAATCATACTGCATCTCATTATTTTATATTAAGTCGTTATTATGGACTGTCTGACTTTACTGTGAGGTATGATTTTTTTAAAGTCTATTTTGGTTGACAGTAACTTCAATTTACAGTTTCAATGATATATGTTGTTTTTTTTCTGAGACTTTTGCTACATTAATGTACTATAAAATAATAGCAATAGATGCAGGGATAATGAAAAATGTCCTGACAACTTCTGGATTTCAAAACGACGGAAAAACGAAATGGGGAATGACGAAAAAGTTGAATGAGTAATTATATACGTCCTAGGTAGTTAGTGGGAGGCATAAAAAGGACAAAAAATAAGCTATGCAAAAAAAAAAAAAAAACAATCAAAAAGCTGACCTTCAATGCCAACATTAATTATCTTTTATTTTTAAAGGTCTAAAATTTATACTATTATTGGGTAAATTCAATTTGTACACACCCATGTTTTGATGGTTTTTTTATTTGCAGGACAGAATAAAACGGAAAAGTAAGTTGATTATAATGTTGTTTATAAATTATAAAGTTACCAAATAAAAGGTCGAACACTATATTATGTTCAATGGTAATAGTTGTTTTTAAACTGGTTTATATAGATTGCTTCATTTGTGCTTGTAAACTATTCAGTGATGTTGCTGTAAAAGACAGGTAAAAATCATACCTAAATCATAATGAAAAAATACAAGAAACTTTAAATTGATAGATTTACGACATAAATAGAAACAAACTTCATACGAAATAGAAAACAAGTACACATTATAGTTCTGAAACTTTGCTACGAATTCTTCAAAAAATACATTTGCTTTTCGTTTATTGCTTTATTATAAATCAGGCCGTCGGTTTACTCGTATGAATTGTTTCGCAATTTTCTGTTATAGCTTAGTAAACAGTATGATTTTTGCTCTTTGTTGAAGACCGTACGATGGACATTAAGTGCTTACATTCGCGTAATTTCGGTCTGGTAGATATTCGTCTCATTGGCAATCCTACCACATCTCTACTTGTTTTTTAAAGAAAAAAATAATGCATGCTTCACTAAAACATGGCTAACTTATTTCCTTGACCAATGTTCGTTTTATCTTTAAGAAATAATAAATCTTATGAAAATACTGGATTCCAGGAAAGACAAAAAGATGATGAGTACGAAGAAGTTAGAAATAAATGTGGTAAGCTTGATTTTAATATAATAATCCGTCAATATCGATAAATAAAAGTGATACATCAAAAGTGCTTTAAAATGCTAGTACACAACTCTGTAATTTTCAAGACAATACTTTATCTATCCAATGTGAATTCATTCATTGATGTTTATTGTTTCAGATGTGCAGCAAAAACAGTGAGTATATGTAAGATTTGCTTGAGGATTAAAAATCGTTTTGAAGACACACAATTTTACAGAGGGATCAATATGCGCAACTATGATAATGATAATATTTTCTTTACTCCTCTGCCCATATCGTAAACTTTGATATGTATGATGGCTCGTTTCGAAGCTGATCCATTTTCACATGTGAGGTTAAATATTCAGGATATGAAGTGAGATTCATTTTCCAACAACTTTGCACACCCAAAAAAAGCCTTTGTGATGCGCTTCCTCGTGGTAAAAAGTCCCTATTTTCACACAAAGAGTTCTCTGAAAATACAGCTCTTTGAAACATTTAAAAACTCCATTATATTTACACCTTTATTCTTTGGTCATCTGCTCTTCAAATCAACAAAACTGGTTAAGCTTAAAGACTTGTTCAAAATCCAACATGTTCAATATCACTGCACAGCTATGTTTTGTTTGCGTATTCAAAAATGACAATACAAGAGCCTTGCAAAATTCCTTTTTTCTTTTGTTATTAAATTTTTAAGTTCAATCAGTTTTGAAATAACCAATACTGCGGACAGGCATTTGTTTCCTATTTCCTATTTTTTAGTTTTTTATAATCATTATATTGCTAAAACTACCAGTTATTGAAATATCAAAGTTTACAAAACATTTTAACAAAATTATAAAAATTTCAAATAGTGAACCTTATACATGTATATGTCGAAAAAGCATCTCCAAGGGTTTGTTGACCGTGAAGGAATAGCTGTTTTACAAATGACGACAGATATGTTTGAATTGTCGTAACCACAATCCCGTCCTCTTTTCCTCGAAAGTGGCTTACCGAATTAGTCTTATCACCGGGTTTGTTCTTACATGAGCAACACGACGGGTGCCATATATGGAGCAAAATCTGCTTACCCTTCCGGGGTACCTGAGATCACCTCTGTTTTTTGGTGGGGTTCTAGTTGCTTAGTCTTTAGTTTTCCATGTTGTGTTTTGTAGACTGTTAATTGTCTTTTGGCTGCATTTCGTTTTTTTGCCATGGCATTGTCAGTTTGTTTTTGATTTTGACTATACTTTTGGTATTTTCCTCCTCTCTTTTATCTCGATTTACAACAAATAAAATCTACAAGAATGACAATACAGTGAAAAACAGTATCTCTTATATTTGTAAAGTGTTTGAAATACACGTTCGGTGTATGTTTTGTTACTAGTTTTTCTGCTTTGTATCGATCTGGTGAGTTAAGCCCTTTGCAACAGATGTTTATAGTTTGTTCATATGTTGTTCTGCTACACCACTGTCCCATGTTAGGGAGGGTTAGGCGCCCGTAAACATGTTTAACCCCGCCACATTCTGTATGTGCCTGTCTCAAGTAAGGATCCTGTAATTCAGTGGTTGTCGTTTGTTACTGTATATTATATTTTTTTGACGTTCATTGTTTTGTACATAAATTAGGTCGTTATAATTCTCGTTTGAATTGTTTTACATTTTTCATTTCTGTGTTCTTTACGCTGACTATGTGGTATGGGTTTGCTAATTGTTGAAGGCCGTACGGGCACATACAGTAGTTAACTTCTATGTCATTTGGTCTCTGGTGGAGTGTTGATTCATTGGAAAATTAAGTTCGTGCAATACTTGTCATTCCTAGGTCAGAATTTCAGGTCTGTATACCGATGCAGGTACTTTCCATCATCTGCGCGTTCTTTATTAAGTTGCATCGACGATGAAATCTCGCTTATTTTTAAAACTTCGTTCAGAGTTATTTTGGAAAATGTAGTTTTAGCAAGACATTTTAACGATAAAGCATCACCCTCTTATGTTTGTAGTCTGATTGTTTTAGCTGCAATATGTGTCATTTTCGTCGAATTTGGCAAAACTATTCAGCATTTTCGGTTTTTTATTCTATTCAATTTCGTATTTGATTTGGGTTTCAAACTGTGTTGATTCCAATGCCACTGATGAGTCTTGTGGAGATGAAACGCGCGTCTGGTATACAAAATATAAGCCTAGTATCTTTGATAAGTTTTGTTTACAACAACTGGGTTAATGGCACTGTTGGTGCGGTTTCCCCCACGAGGGTATCGCCAGTCCAGTCAGTAGTCAGCACTTCTGTGTTGATATGAATTATCATTGATATGGACCATATACATTCGCTGTTTACAAAACTTTGAATTGTTCGAAATTCTAAGGAATTTCTACCCCAGGAATAGATTACCTTAGCTCTATGTTGCAAAACCTTTGGAATTTTTTGGTCCTCAATGCTGTTCAACTTCGTTCTTTATTTGGCCTTTTAACTTTTGTTATTTGAACTTCACTGATGAGTCTTTGGTAGACGAAATGCGCGTCTGGCGTACAAAATTATAAGCCTGGTATCTTTGTATTTTTAAATGTTTTTTTCATACAAGGACAAGATTTAAGTGAACGTAGGTCTACTACTTTTATGCTTTATTACCTGAAGTTTCTATCTCTCAGTATAATTTGGTTTCATCTACGGGTTTCCTTTTTATATCAGTTTTTAAACTCTAGTTTCCTATATGGATTATCTTCAAGTGAATTTTATGTATTACAGATCTAGTAAAACCTACGAAACACTTGGTACCAAAGACACGCTTAACGTTTATGATGGTTTAGATACTTCTAAAGGTGTGTATTGAATACAGTGTTGAAATGATAAAAATATCTCCAATGTGCAAGAGATAATAGAAATTTGTAAATGATAGGATATTGCAGTTGCAAAAACTTTAGAAATAACCAAACTTATTTTTGCCAATTGACTAATATCTTTTTGCTGCTTTAATAAAAAAAATTCGATAGTAGTATTTATTATCATATGTCTTTGTTAATTTGTCAGTTCATACATTATATGAATGGAAACTGACTGAATTTCCCGAACATGTCAAGCCTATGAGATTATTCAAATTACCAATATTTAAAACGAGTAAATTACTTATATCGGTAATTTGACCATTCGTGTTTCATAGCTTTTATCTTGAGTTTGGATTCTCTCTGATAGATTTTCTTCAGTGATAAATATTCCGCGTATATCCAGATCGAAACGAAGTAGACATTAAACAAAAGGCGGGCTTTGCAGTGTGTTATGACTTGAATTACTGCAGGAAATTGCCAGAAATAGTAAAAGGATAGCATGTACACTGGACAGCGATGTATACCTCATCAATTAGTGACAACCAAATCGTTCGGAAGAATTGACGTCTGACGATTTGAAATAATTAATGGCCCCTCACAAATAGTCCCAACTTTCTTAAAATTTTATAATGAGCCTTCATAAAACACTTCTGTTGTTTGTTTGTCAAATTTTAGCATGTTTGCCGTTTATTTTGAAAAATATAACAGATAGACAGAAACTTAAAAAAGCAAAAATGGTCCACTATATGCAAATTTTCCTTTGTCCAGATTTTGATTTTAATATCAATCTGGTATAATTTTACCACGTAACAGATTCAGGCTACTTTGCGCCTCCAGTTTGTATTGTCAACCAACAGGTTGCTAACTTTCTGTAGTAGCGATCATAGCTTTACCCTTCTTTCAAAACTATGTCCTAACTGTATTTCCTTGCTCAAATTTGTGGTAATCCTTTTGGTAGCTAGACTGTGAAGGTTATTATTAACTGAATGTTAGTTCTAGGCAGGCATTGGGACATTTGTGTGCACATAATTGGTTAAGCATAGCAAATTGTTTGTGCCTTAACCAAGTCAGGCTATCTCAGCCATATGTTGTCCGTTGTTAATTAATTTCATCTGCGTGTATGTCTATTTTTTTCAGTGCAGTCAGGTGTTGGCGGTTAGTGTGGTCTGTTGAAATGTCTAGTAATTTATGTGATTCTGTTAGTTATATCATATATCTATATCTATATAAACAGCGAACAACACATGGTCAATAATGCATAAAAATGTGTGCAAAGGAGTGGCATACATCAACTCAGGGTTTCTTTAAAGGCTGTGCGAAGGGTTCTTGAACCCTCCAAACGTAAGGGCATTGTATTTAACACTTTCATGCAAATAGGAAATCGACTACCAAATTGTTAGTCGTTATGTTGGAGTACATTTAGTAGAGATTTCTTCAGATTGCAGGGATTTCAAAGGTATTACTATGGTTTGGACTCTTGTACATAATTGCATATATTATGGCGTCATCTAGTTTGACTTTTACAATATCTAATTCCGTTCATGGGCAGCTATTTATATTTATACCGACAACTAATTTTATATGTGATCAAAAAGTTGTTATATATATAATAGAACTTTATAATTTTAGGTCTGACACCATCTAAATCGTAAGTTATGTATGATTTATGTAAGCCTAAAATGTTATTTGTGTGTATTTTGAAAAAAATAATCACAAGTATAAAAATATCTAAAATCATGCATTTATTTCGTTCTTTAAACGACGACAAAGGAATGATTTTTAATTGACTGTTATTGTTCTTACTGAATGTTATAATTGTTGCCTCATACTTAAGACAACAATAGTTTTTAGATATATTCAATCAATGCGGAAATACCTTTGCCAGTATTTTCTTACAAAATGATAACTAAGCTATCTTCAGGAAATAGAAATTATATTATCATTAAATCAAGACAACTAATAGAAGTACAATAAATATGTTTCAATGGTTTTTTGATATATGTAGATATAGGAAGATGTGGTATGAGTGCCAATGAGACAACTCTCCATCCAAGTTACAATTTATAAAAGTAAACCATTATAGGTCAAGGTACGGCCTTCAACACGGAGCATTGGCTCACATCGAACAGCAAGCTATAAAGGGCCCCAAAAAATTTCTAGTGTAAAACCATTCAAACGGAAAAACCAACGGTCTAATCTATATAAAAACGAGAAACGAGAAACACGTATGAACTACATAAACAGACGACAACTACTGTAATCAGATTCCTGACTTAGGAAAGGTGCAAACATTTGCAGCGGGATTAAACGTTTTAATGGTACCAAACCTTCTCCCTTTTCTGAAACAATAGTATAACATCACAACATAGAAAAACACACTATAAAATATCAATTGGAAGGCTTAACTCAATCAAAAAACGTAAATTAACACACAATGAACGAATAAATTTGACCTGTGACACCTGAATGCAAATACACAGTTAATAAAAAGTTACAAGGGATAAATAATTAAAGTCAAAAGTAAATAAACAGGTTTAAACAAAGTTAAAGTATGATATCACTGTGCTTGTATGTCAAAGTATTTACCTATATTCTGTGATGCTCAGTTCGAATTCAAATCATAATCATGTTTACCATGGGAAATTCCCTTTAATACGCCAAATCACACAATAATGTTGCGTGCAAGAAAATAGGTCGCTAATGTTCAAGGTTAATCATGTAAATCACTGTCAATACATACATTAATATTGGATTATATAGAAAGCAAGCACGATTTCATCCGTCTTGACACCGATTTAGCAATATAAACATGTAAGTAGCAGTAACTAAAGAAATGTAGCAGTAATAACAAGCTAGAAAACAAAGATGTAAATTGGAATGCCACATGTTGGCGGAATGTCGTCATGTTCGTAACGCAAAATCTGCAAGTGCTTTTCCGGGAACAACGTTACGTTCACTCAAAGATATTACTGCATTATTTAACATTTACGACACTGAGTAAAGGAATTTCAAAGCCCCAACAAACCTTCGTCTTAATAATCCATAAGTATACTAGACAGAATGGAATTTAATGAGTTACAATATTTATTGATAAATTGACAGAAATGATTCTGATTTGCACAACAAACAGCTAAACAATCTGTATAAATATACGTTGTTTTAAATTTAGCCCAACCATGTTAGATCTGCAAATTTGTAGTGAGACATTTTTATTTTTTTTACCTCATCGGGATTCGAACGCGTGCTCATGTGCCCTAGGCAACTCGACCAACAAAAATAAATAAAATCTAGCTTTCGTTTAATGCCAAACCTCAGTGTTGATAAGATAAAAATCACTGTAGATAAACTACATAGACCAATCGAACATAGATTCCACCGTATTTGACTTGAAATATGGGCTTGAGAAAATATTACTGTGTTAGTGATACGTGAATAACAAATAAAACTGTGACAGGCAGACAGTTTAGTTCAGTTAAAACTCATCATGTAAAACGCTTTATGTGTGTTGTTTCTTTTTGACACGGGGAAGCGGTTTCGAAGCACAGAAAAAATAACCAAGGACAAGTGTCAATTGTTCTTTTTTGAGAATTCATAGCCCAAATTAATATTTTGCACAAAAGATACCGACTTATAATCTATTTCCAGCAGGTTGAAGCAGACGTCCCAAATGCTCTATTTTTCAGACACCCCTCCTCACTTATATCCGTGTAGCAGATTTTAATTGAAACTTCGAATGCAAGTTTCAGAATAAAAAGTACTTTTCGGCGACCTATTACCGTATATTTTATATAGAAATGTATGAATATCATAGAATTAGACCTAAAACTAGCTTCCCAGTCAAAATTTCTTATTTTGTAAGTTAATTGGTATCGAAAAGAAATGTTTCACACGGGGTGCTAAATAAGTAAGTTCATGAGAGTTTTGTTTATTCAAGTAGTAAGGCTTTTAAAATTGACCCATTTAAGAACGAAATTATGTCGATTTTGAAATTTATTATAAAGTTGAAATTCAAGGACAATAATATTTGACTTAAGTGAATCTTGTCCTGTCGCATCTAACGGGGATAGGCATTAATTTAATTCGATCTTTAACTAAAAATAATATGCATAACTATGTGTAAAGATTATATAACCTCAAGTTTAAATGCTTAGAAGATAATAACCAAAAAGTAAAATAAAAAAAAAATACCGAAATCCAATGAAAATTCAAATCAGAAAGTCCCTTGGCAAAATCAAAAGCTCAAACACATCAAACGAATGGAAAACAACAGTCATATTCCTGACTTGGTATTAGCAAAAGAATCAATTTTGAAGTGACTAGATGTTCTGCATTCCTGCTCTAATATTGAATATTGGTTGCAAATAGGCATTGCTTTTTAGCTCACCTTGCCCAGAGGGCCAAGTGAGATTTTCTCATCACTTGGCGTCCGTCGTCCGGTAACTTTTACCAAAATCTTCCCCTCTGAAACTACCTAACCAAATTCTAAAAATAAAACATAGGGGTAAAATGCAAGTTTTGTCTATTATTTTGAAACCGTTATAAATATTAAAATAAATCTGTCAGGGGCAAAAATGTTCAGAATGTTGAACTTTATCGACTATGTATTTTACGTCAAAACTGTCAAGCAACTTCTTATATGAGTTATTGCCCTTAAATGTCAAATTTTACCATTTTCTTTTTCAAATTTGCCTATTATTATCTTGAAAATTATAATAGATAGAAAGACACTATAATTGCAAAAAATGATCAGCAAGACACGATATACAAATAAGTCAACATGTTCGAAATCGTCAGTTGACCTCTTATTAGAGTGATTGCCCTTTGATGACAATTTTTACCAAATATCTTAAAATATAGAATAGATAGATAGAAACTTTAAATAACAAAAATGATCAGCAAGGCAAGATCTACGAAAAAAATATATTTTGCCGATATAGTTAGTAGACTGTTACTCTTTATAGAAGTGATTGCCCTAAATGAGGAACCCTCTTATGTGTTTTGAGCAAAAACTAAAGAAGATAGATAGAAACAAAACAGACAAAATAATCAACAATTCAAGAGTGTCATTGTTGAATATGCACATATACCTAGGTGAGCGACACTGGCTCTTTAGAGCCTCAAGTTTTGTTTCCTCGTTAGAAAAAATAAATACGCACCTTTATTTTACATGGATCTAATTCTTTACCAATATTAGATATCTAAATTGACTGTCTTTGTTTAAACACTGCTAAGACTTGCTGAACACCTACGTGCAAAACTGATTCTCTTGGTTGGGTGATATTAAAGTTGTTTTCGACAAATTTGACCGTCAAGCCAGAGGAACAAGAGATCGTAATATAAATTTCGAAGAAATATTAGGTAATATGAGGCCAGCTTGAGGAGCATTTAGTGCATCAGTACCATTGCAAGTAGGAATAAAAATTTTGCCAAAACAAAACGTGTGAGAAAGGAATTTAAGGACATGAAAGATACATACAATGATTGTACTTAGATTTTCATTTGTAACATTTCAGACTGGGCATTATTCAAAGGAAAAAATAACAAAATGTATGAAAAATGTGTTGTCTTCAAAGATCTGATAAAGAAAATAAAAAAAAAACCTGTATGAATAAAGTCAAATAACAAATAAATCACACCTGAATGCTACATACCTACATCATGTTCATGTAAATTCTCTACAGCTAGAAATCTTGAATCGTCAACTGCAAAATAACACAATCAACAGACATCAACTAGAGGTTCGACTACATTACTTTGTTTGTAAACAAGAAAATATAATAGTAGTAACATATGGCTTATTCCATTAAAAGAATATATGAATGGAATATTAATTTGGCGCCTATAGCTTTCCTTGTAGAATCATTTCAAATTAATGTCGTCAAATTTGGCCTGGTACTTTAAAAGATAGTTGCGAATGTGTCTTTTAAAAGATTTTTTATGATAGTTTAAATGATACCAATGTCATCATGTAAGGAAACTTTGATTTTCCGTACGGTTTCAATGAGAGCTATATGTCATCAATGCCATCAATGACGCCCAATCAGACTTAAATAAAGACTGCTGAGGTGGGACTTAGAATCATCAATCCCTTTATGTTTAAAAGCAATTTACATAGTAGTTTAAGACAGACGAATTTTCACAATTAGCCAATCAAAATCAAAGATTTGCAGCGTTCAGGTTTTTTGTCAAATCTCGATAGCGACTTTATAACATAATTCATACCAAATTTGTTTACAATTGATACAGAGGTCTTTGGAAAACTATATGAAAATATGAAAAGTTTACGGTCCACAACGACGATGGCGGACGTTAAGTAATGGAAATAGTTCGGATCTTTTAACAGATGCCTCATTCCCATTTAGATTTAATATGCGACACAATACATTTTGACTGTAAAGATTCCTTAGTCCTGAAACCTGCTTTTGAAGTCTCAAAATCTGCGACATGAAAAACTGACGGAGGGGTGTTTGATAAAATAAAGTACCGGGGACCTCTGCTTTTTCTCGCTAGACTACTATCTGTACAATACATTATTTCTTCTCAAAGAAGAACAATTGGTATTTTTCCCCACCTTAAACATTTTTCTTTGCTTCGAAGTCGCCACCCTGCGTAGAACATAGCCAACACACCGCTTGTGGTGTTCTACGC